CCCCAAAACCCCAAAACCCCAAAACCCCTAATGACTTAAATATGAGAGATTTGAAATTTATCAAATTGATTAATTTAAAATATCATTTTATTTTAAATGGATCATATCAAACACTCTAACTCTAACAATTCTTGGCCAATCAAATATTATACTTGACTATATTAGTTATGTTGCTCAAAGTTTTCTTTAAAATTATGCCAGGATCATCTATATCAAGCGAATAATCACCATCTTAGCTCTAAATATCATAGATTCTTTAACTTTCCTTCTAATTCGTATCAGTCAGTGAATCATCTTAATTTAGTTAAAGTATTTGAGTATTACTCTTTGAGTCAAAACTTTTCAATCTTTAAAATAAAGTCATTCCTTCATTTTGCTTTTTTATTTCATCCTAGAAATCTTTAAGTTTTCTTTTAAATACACCTCTGATTAAGTTACTCTCTACCGTTTTCAATTTTTTGCCCTCAAATGATGTCATCATCTTCTTCAATTTTCCATATGTCACTAATCTAATTAAAGGATTCTTATCTTCCATAAGTTTAAATGCATCAAGATGATTATCATCTGAGTCTGATGATTCAGAACTTGTCTCTAGTAAGTTTTGCCTTTAAAATCTTAACAGCATCCTATGCTATTAGTTGAGGAGTGCCTACGATAGTAATTTAAATTTTCTTAAAGTCTTTACTAATTGTATTACATCTAACTCCATTCCTAACTTTTCCTTACCTTTCTCGTAAAGAAAGTGCTCTTTATAAGTCTTATGATGCCTCTTTTTACTTATATTTCTGAAGCATAAGCATGAAATTATGTAAATGAATATTTATCGAGGAGTATATTTGAACTACATTCTTGTTATAAATGCAAAAAGAAGATTGTTAATATCATTTTTATTGATGGCTAATGCATTCTTGAAATATTTACTAAATAATGCCTCTCTCAGTTTCACATTTAAAAAGTTAATCCCATCAAATATCTGAGAACTAATATAAGGTTTTTAATCATTTATTGTTATCTAAATATTTTCATGTTCCATTATTTCTTCCTAGTTGTTATCGTTGTCCTCAGTAAAAATCTTAGTTTAAAAATTTCTCGTTTGTCCCTAGTATGGATTAACTGATAAATTTGACATATTATCTTGATTGTTTAGTATTTATCAGTTTGTTAAGTTATTGGTTTATTTATTTTACATGGCATTTAAGTTACTAGGGTTTCTTACATGGATCTAAGACTTAGAAAATTAAGCAAATCTATTTTCTATCTCATTAGTTGTTTCATTCTAAAGTTTAGACACAGTGTTGTTTGTATTATTTTATCTTTACAAAGATTCGTCATTTTCAATAGGTTTTCTTACCTAATAGATTTTATTCATAACATCTGATAAGAATAAGTGATGAGCAATAGAGCCTACAAACCAAAGTCCAATTATATAAAGAGATCTATATAAACCACCCAAGTCACCTAGAAGTTCCAAAACTGAGTAAACCTTCCTTCTGTACATATTATAGCTGCTATCCAATCTTAAATATATTGCAACTATGTATCCTTTTTCATCTTGATAGCCATCATCATAACTTCTTTAATTGACTACTTAATGAAACTATTTTAATTTCTTTTATCCAAATTACAAATAATCATCTTCCATAGTTGCCTCTTAAAGTTGCAGAAATATATTTTGTTTCTTGGCCTTTGATGCTTCAAGTTCAAAGAAGAAAGTATCATCTATAAAGTATTTAATGGCAGACTCTTCAGTTTTGAAATCAGTAAAATCAAAGAATGTATTCACAAAAGCAAAGTTAAATTTTTCATTTTCGAAGTAATTATCTATTGCACTCTGATCTTTGCATTAACCCTAAAGATTATTATTAGAAGCACTACTATTTGAACATTTCCAAAGTTTAATCTCAAGATATTAAAAGCTTTTTTAGTAAAAATCACCCTCTAATTGATAATCATTACCTGAGATACAGTTTAATTCTGTTATTCCTTTAAACTTGACCTCTGAGAAATCTGAATAATTAAATGTAGTCTAATTGCACTTCTAAAACTAAACATCCCTTGATGATTATTTGCGAATCTTTCTTCCTAGTGAATCATATTCACCAGTTTCTAAACTTTATAATTACTTGACGGTATAATATCCAATACTAGTGTTTAGTTCAATATTTAAGCCAAAGGCGAAATCAAATCCATAGTCTTGTGGTCAGTATACAAAACCATCTGCCATATTTCTAATTAACTAAATCTTAGAATTGTCAGAGCTCACTCTGTCTATCAAATTTTGTGTCTTAAAGTATCCAAAACTGATGAGTATGATAAAAATTATCAGTGAAACAATCGATCCTAGTGTAGTCTTGAAGTATTCTTCCCCTTTGAAGGTTAGTTCTACTTTTTATCCAAACTAATCTAATTCCTTAAATTTCTTTGAAGCATTTTCACATTTAGTTATTTTTGGTTTCACGTTTGATAGTTTCTATAATTCAAGAATAAGTAAAGAATATAAGGCTTAATATAATAATGAAAAAAATATGTCTACCTATGTTTTCAGACGATATCCTTGCATGATTTTTAATTATTAATAGAAATATTATATTAAATTATTTCAACTGATTTTGATATTATTTGCAGTTTAATCCTTTTCCTCAATTTATCAATTTAAATAGAGGCGGGGTTTTGGGGTTTTGGGG